CCTTTGGATTGATCTGATGGCTATAAAGTGAACCCCTTATAACTTACCACTTATAACTTTCCACTCATTATAGTCTTGCCTATTTATGAGTGTGAGTTGATGGTTGAGTGGGCCTTCCAACTCGCCAACCCGTCCGAATTTTGGGCAACCCCAACCCACAAAAGAAAAATCTCAATCCAACACCGGAATACAATGACTCAATAACCAAACAGACTCACTCACATTTTGCATTCCCAAATCCCAGTCCACCAAGGGAACCAAAACCCACGAGTTCAGTAAAACCCTTCACTGGCGGACGAGACGATGGCGATGCAGAGATTATGTACCAAGCTTCGGTCATTGTCCGTACACTCAACCCAAACTCTACCATCTTTCTCTTCGTCTTTCCTCTGTTCTTCTCCTCGTCTTCACCAGCCTCTCCCTTTCGCTTCAAATAACAACAAATGGAGCTTAAGGTCACTTTTCAATGCCCATTCACCAACCCAACCTTCGCTAGCTATCGCCACTCTTCGCCCTTCAACATTCCCTATCTTGGTAAGCTGGGTGGTTTTTTTATTTATTATTTTGTTTGAATACTGAGAAAATGCCTGAGAAAGATTAATATCCTAATTCTTGAATAATAAGGAATGCAGAAAATTTCGCAGGAAATACCTGGGTTAGTTGGGTTTTCATTTAACATTTTTATTTTGCCTTATTATGTAATCTATCAAACGGAAATGTGAATGGGGGATTTCCATATGGTGTTGTTAAGTGCATTAGTGTTTAAAAGAGAAATGTTGTTTTATGTGTGCATGTTAAGATGCTTCAAGTGCGGCATGTTTCTTCAAGAGAGCGTAAGAAGAGGAGAAAGCCAATGACACCAGTCACTTCCAAGTTAAAGAAAACCAAAATAAAGGCTTACTCGTAGGTTTATGTTTTCTCAGTCATCAAGTTATGTCATTATTTTCTTTTGGAAATGTTGATAAAGTTTTATGTAATAATGGTTTTGAAATTTCTTGGTCAGGTCTTATAAGTCCAGGTTTAGGACAATGAATGATGGGAAAATTCGACGATGGAGGGAGGGCAAGCGTCACAACGCGCATTTGAAGGTGTGGTTTGCATTTTGATTATTCAAAACTTGGGTTCCATATGCAGTGTTGGTCACTACTCATCTAGCAAGTCGTTATATCTCAATCATGTTTAAATTCTGCATGGTTTAATTCTTTAATACATTTGGGATGATGCATTTAAATTCCCACAACATACACTAGAAAAATCCTTTAGTGTGATTTTCTTGTTTGGGCCAAATTTCTTTGCTATGTTAGGAAGCAACTTGAACGAGCTCAGCCCGAAGTCCCTGAATCCAATCCTAAAATTTCATCCCCTATGGTCAGGTTAAAGGTAGGTTGAGAGTTTGAGTTGAGAAAATACCAACCCCATCAAGTTTGAGCCAATCCCAGAGTTAACTCGAATTACTGATAAACTGGTGAATTGTTTCAAGACCTATCCTAATTGACATCTTCACTAAATTCATTTGAGTAATATATGTATGTGCAGCACATTGTGAAAAGTAAAGTGGGAAGGGATGGTAGAAAGGAAAGAAGGATCACTTAGTAAAATGGGATGTGATGTGATGTGACTCAAGTCAAGGATAAATGAGGCTTAGGGGTGCAAAACTTAGTAAAGAGGAATGAAGATTTTCTTGGGAAGTGGTTGTGGAGATTCTAGGCAAAGTCAAATTCTCTTTGGTATACTGTAACCCGGAGCAAGTGTGGGCTGCATGAGAATGGTTGGGATCCCAAGATTGTGGCTAGAGCTTCAAGTTGATATCCATGGACATATATTTTTAAAGGGATTGTTTCTTTCGCTGCGTATTGTTGTTTTGGGGTGGGTGGGGAACGTGGAAACGTGAGGTTTCGAGACAAGAGTTGGGCACGGGAAACCAATTTTTGTACTCTTTATCCTTATCTGTATAGATTGTCCTGATATCATAATTATCCCATTGCTAGAATATGTGTTAATGTGTCTTGTTTTCCTCCTAGTTGGAATTTTGGGTATCGAAGACATTTTAATGAGCAGGAAGTGAGAGAGTACTTGTCTTTGCTGTCAGATCTAGAATCTGTCTTGCTTGTCCAAGTAGAGCATATAGGAGAATTTGGAGATTGGAGTCATATTGCATTATTATTATTTTAATATTTGTGTAAATGTTTCTTAAGGTATCTTGTGTAAAATCTTACTCTTTCTACTTTGACACCCTCCCATGTAATATGGAAAGCTAAAAGTACCTCCTAAGGTACAAGTGTTAGCTTGATTAATTGTTCAAGGGAAGGTTAATACTTGTGACATGGTTCAAAAAAGGCATCCATTTGCCCCTCTCTTTCTCCCCTTTGGTGCGTTATGTGTAGGAAGGAAGGATGCTGAAAGTATGGATCATTTGTTGCTTCATTGGCCAGTGGCATGCCCTTTATGGTCATGTGACCATAAACCACGAACTGGTTTGGTCGTACCGAATTGTGGTGCGTTCGAGAACCAAATCGTAGAAACTAACCAGAGAGAGGGAAGAAGATGGCGCACCTCTGTTGCAATACATCCATGAAGTCTGAGTCAGACTCTTGAGAGATGAGAAGAAGATGAGTCTGTCGACTATTCGCTATTAACTACTGAGAAGTTAGAAGAAAAAAAACATAAAGAATATGAAAGAGGGAGGTGCTTGGGATGCTGTGTCAGTTTCATCTTCCAAGAGGAAGGTGCATGTGTGAAGAAATCTCCATTTAATACAAGTAATCGGAGGTTGGATAAAATAAATAGGCCAAGTTAAGTGAGAAAAATTAAAAGTAAGGTTGAAAATTATGACATTTATTATGCAGGAAACAACTTGAATTAAAAAAACTTGAAAAATTAACAACGACCTGAATTAAAGTCTCGAACAAATTGTGATTCGAAGCACAGTACCGACTATGCCTACCCCCAACAAATCCGTACCATAGAAACGAGCGAACTGCGTACCTATTCGTGTTTCACGAACCGTATTGTTCCCCGTACCAGGTAACACTGCTTTTTTTATGAGGCCACAAGGATTTTGATGGGAGAAGGCAAAAGTTTTGTAGAATAGTGGTGTGTTCGGTTGTTTTTGGTATCTGTTTGGAGAAGAATAAAAGGATTTTTGAGGATCATAGCAGGGTGGGGTTGCAGGGTTGGAGGGTTGGTGGGACGAAGTTAGTTTTGGTCTTCACTGTGAGTTTCAATGTCTTTCTGAATATCAGAATATTCCGCTCTCATCTATACTGGCAGATTGGAAAGCTGCTGTTTTATAAGACTCTAATTAACACTTTGAATTTTCCCATTTGCTTGAAAGTACTTGGTTTTTGTTGTTGTTTAGCCTTTTGTGATTCATATGTTGTGGTGGACAACTTGTCCACTAGTTCATCTTGTTTAGTTTTTTTTTTTTTTTTTTTCATTTAATAAAATTCCGTTTCATATTGAAGAATAAAGTTGAACTCTTTCAAGGAAGTTGAAAATATTTCAAAGTCTAAAGTTCTAAACAACTGCACCAATTAAAGTGTAGGAAAAAAAAAACTGTCTAAGAAAACAAATTATCATATGTCACTTTCATTTCTTATTATGATAGAATGGAGAAAAATGAAAAAGAAATAGAAAACAAAGATAGATATCAATAGATAAGATGTTTGCACTTTACATGAATAGAAACATAATATAAACATCAACATTTGTTATTTTACTGCTAATAATCCTAATGTGTTAGGTTTACATGATATATAACCACAACCAGATTTACATGAATTGATTTAAATTATTATTTGAAACTATTTCTAATGTTATAAAACCGTAGCTAGATTTGCTCATTTTCCAATATGTTCATTATATATTTATACTTTAGCCTGCATATTTGTATTAGACCTTCTTTTTGTTCCCTGAAAAAAGGCTTACATATTAAATTTTTAGCCCCTTAACATTGAGCGCACAGGAAGTAGTGCCATATTTGATGTGGAACAATTGGATGGAGAAGAATAGAAAGGCAGTTCAGGGGAAAGGATTGTAGATTGGAAGATATTGTAATTAGTCCTAAGAGGACCTCTCTTGTGTATGATATGGTCTTCTTTCCTTGCTTTTTTTGGGGTTCAGTAAGCTATGCCTGGATTTCCTATGGAGGGGATGCAGAGTTAGTAAGGAGTTCTGCAATTGTTTGCTGACAACTCCCTTCTGTATATGTAGGGAGTGGAACAATAGATGCTTTGAGAATAAGGAGGCGTAAATTGGGGTCCATCAGAATTCCATTGTGTGGATTGTCTTTTTGGATCATAGGCCTGTAATTCCATAGGTTTAGATGGTTTTTCAGCTTTTAAATTTACTACTGAGTTTACTAACTTCTTGTACGAGTTTCAATTAACCCTTCCTACATGGTACTTCACTAGACATTTGCTAGCCATAAATTGTAGAAATTTAGGCTCTCTATCTAAATATCTTTATATTTTCATATCTACTAATAAAAACTTGATATTCTATATCTTCCTTAATATTTCTTTTTAATTTGGTGATGCTGTAGCTACTGGCCCAGAATGAGATATGCAGAATTGATAGCCAAGGAACTTTAAAATGAAATTGCTGTGTTTGTATTAAGTTTCATTTTACTTGTCAGAGTCATCATCTTGAATTTATTTTAGGTCTTATTTGGTTTAGAAGTATTGGTGGTATGACAAAATGATCACTATATAATTGGAGTTGAATCCTGGAACAGACAAAAGTCTATTGGAGTTGAGATGGACTGCTGGAAGTTGGGTCATTGTCTGGTAGAATTCTTAAGAGAAGTCATCCTTTCTTTGAGTTTTGGGGAAGAAAGGCAATGTTGTCCTCTTAAACCAATTTTTATTGTATTTTCTTTATGTAGTCTTTTTCTAGATGGAATATAAGTATAATCCTTTGCCTTTGTCGAGACCACATAGCGATGGAGGACAGCCTAGTGACCATCTATAACCAGAAAATGAGTAATGGATGCTCATCCTCAATCATATGGCACAAAGTGGTTGCAGGAATATATTGCTGCGTGAAATGAAATGAGGCTCAAAGTAAAAGAATGATGTTAAATGCAACATTTGGTTGCTGATTCATCAAACCTCACACAGAAGAAATCTGTGTCATTTCTTTGCGTGGGGCTTTCCTGTTTTTACCGGAAGAAAGTACTATGAACTTTCAGAACGCAGGGCATTTTACAGCAATTAGGAGAAAGGATTTAAGAAGGTTTGACCTAAGGATCTTAGACCTTTTACCACAAGTTATGGAGATGTCTAGAGTCTAGTGATCAGCATTGCCAAGCAAGAAGGGAATAGGTCTGTTGAGGAAAATATTTTGTTATACATAATCTGGATACAGGGGTCAACTTAAAGCATCTGAGTTTCTGTCATTTTCTTTCTGGTCTGATTTAAGCATCTAAATCCTAACATTGCATCATCTCAAATTGTGTTTCTATACATCAGCTTAAGCCTGGATGACTTTGTTTAGCACGTAGATAATATATCACTTAAAATGGAAAAACATTTTACTCAGTCTGTGAGATCTGTACCTCAGAAGAAAATAAGTGGTCTCTGTTTTTTTTTTACTGGGGAACACTACTTTATTAACAAAGAAAGAGAGGTACAACACAAGGTGTCCCGTCAGAACAAACATGTATTTTACATCTAATGTTAGGGCAGCTAAACGTCTCTTAGTGGAGATCTCTTGACCTGCTTGATCAGACTTCAGTTCCTTTTTATCGTCCATGTACCTTTTCCTTGTAATGGTGCATTCATGATTTACTATTTTACTTTTCTTTTTTTCGTAATTGAGCAGAATTCTGAACATATCAATTTATTCTTGAAATTAATGAAATTTCATATTTGTTGCAGTCGAAGATATCTAAGCGTAGACTCAGACTACCTGCCTTAGTCCATCCTGCTTATGCTAAAGTGATGAAGAAGCTCAATTTCAGCGGTTAAAACTTTTAGAGTACCCTGTAGGTGCTGCCAATTTCCCGGAATGAAAGAGAGTACACTTTTGCATTTTGAAATGTGCTCTTTTCAATAGTTTACATTTCTGTTTCCTTCAGACAAGCAGGTGTTATATGCTTTTAGAGGCTAGATGTTCTTAACTATTGACTAGTTCAGTTTGAGGCTATAGCTGACTAGCTGATGAAAATAATCAGCAGCTATGCATGTCTTCTAAACTTGTATTCTGTGGACAACTACTTGCTGAGGAATTTTTTATGAGAGTTTTGCATTACTGTAATGTATCAGAAAAGAAATAACAAGTTCTCGGTTGACACGGTGAATGACTCAAACTTGAAGCATGGTATGGATGTTACTAAAGAAAATCTGCAATGTTGTCTAAACATCAATAGATTTGCCGATTTGCATCATATAATATTCCAAAATTTGTGATCTCTTGCAGCACTTGTAGAAAATTCAAGTTGGAGTTTTGCAGTGAAGGGAGAAAAACATTTATCATTTCTTAAGAGCATCTCTTACTTTTACCCCGCCACTCCTAGCCGGCGTAGGATAGAACAGGATAGCAATTTTAACATAGGCCCTCAAAACACAAACAATGAGAAATTGGGTACGTTAAGTTCTATGCACAAGGACAGGCGTATGAAACAAATAAAATAATACCCAAAAATTAGAAATGTCAAAACGCTTTTATCCAAATTTAGAATGTTAAAAATGTTTAATAAAAAATTGTAATGGAAGATGGGGGAGATCCTAATTTTCCAGAAAACAAAATCATATATCCGAGCTGATTATTGTTATTCCTAAACAATGAAAGGCATAAAGCATAACAACCTGAGGAAATGAAATGCCACAGATTCCCTTTTAATTCGTCTTTACTTAAAATCTTTCACTAGGCAGATTCTTGTATCTCATAGGCAGTAGCTGCAGCATCAAGTCCCTGAACAGGTGAACCTGCTGCTTCCTCACTATCATGCCTCACATGCCCTGCTGCTTTGGCTCCTCCAGAGTCGCTAATGTTCCCAAAGATCAAAACTAGCACTCCACAGACGGCGGTGATAAACGAGAGCCCGAAAGAAGTGGACACATTTCCCGGGATTGCCGATGCAACCGCAAAGCCAGCACACGTGCCAAGAGATTTTGTCCAAGAAAACCAAGCAGAGAAAGCACCTTCTTTTCCGGGAGGTGAACAATCCATCAACAGAACGCGCCCGAAAGCGTGTAGGAGCCCCGTGGAAGTGCTTTGAACTGCGGCGAAGAGCAGAACATGGCGCTGCTCCCAAACTGAGCCCCCGAAATAGAACCCGTACCCGGAGGTGGTTAATGAGAGGAAGAAGCCCATGAGTTGCATTTTGACAGCATTTGCCTTGATGAAATGCTGCAGGGGTTGCAGCATTGGGAGAGAAAACAAGGGGAAGATGAAATACATTAGCCAAAGGTAGAGCAATGATCTTGGATCATAGCAAAGCTGCCCAACTAAGTAAAGCACCCCTCCTGTGAAAAGGCACATTGTTGTTGCCGAGGAGAGGAAAGCGCCAACAAGGCCTCCTACTGCATGAGGAAACTTGAAGATTGATAATGCATGGGACTTTGAGATTGGTGGGTTGACGCAAGGCCTTTTAGTGACAAAGAAATGGAAGATTCCACAAAACCATTTGATGCCACTAAAGATGGAGACAACCCAGAGGCTTATGTACTCGTCGTCCTCTCTAAGCATGTGGTACGTGAATGAGGACATGATGGCGGCGCCCAAGGAGCCTGCAGCGGCTGCGTAAAGTGAGAGCCAGGCGGACATGCCTCTGCGGTCTTGGAACTGGGATTTTTTAAGAGTTGGTCCAGTAAAGCCGCGGACCATTAGGCCAAGGTGGCGGGTGTGGCAGGCGGTGGAGATGATGTGGGCGGCGGTTATGGCGGCGATGTATGGGGGGAAGATCCAGAGGGTTTTAAAGAAGCCGGCAGGAAGACAAAAGATGGCGCCAATGGCAGTGGCAGCTGCAGCAATGATGGGCTGGTTGTAGCCGTGATCAAGGATGATGGAGACAAAGCCAAGGAGTGGAGAAGCCAGAGCTAAACCTATGGCCCATGAAATTGAAGTCCACTCTAGAGCTGAGTATTTGGAAAGTATTGACTTCTTTGTGAGTGAATGGTACCTGCAATATTAACACATAAACTTCACTATCTAAGCTACGGAAACTTAGTTGGAGTGTAGTGATCAATAGGTTAACCCATAAAATAAAATAAATTGTCCAATATAGATCCCTACATTTTCTATTTTCTAGATATATACCCATCACTCTATAAATCTATGTGTAAAACCCAATTTCAAATTTAAATGACTAGTAGGATATAAGAGGTCGTAGTATTCCTATGTTTTTACATCGTTGCCACCAAACTTCATATTTTATTTATAATTTATTTCAAGTATTTTATTAACGGTCATAATTGTAATTAACACTCCCTATTAAAAACATATCAATCACCCTATTTCTTTTGGTTGTCATTCCCTCTCACATACCACCCCCTAAAATTGCAAACCAAAAAAAATATCTGTAAATTACATATCCAATAATGTACCTATGAAAAATATAAATATAAATATATACGTATAAAATATAAATATATTATTTAAATAAAATATAGGTATATTATTTACCAAAACAATTTAAAAAAAACTAAGTCAGTTACTTTGTAATTGAAATTTCCGTACATTTTTCATAAATTAAAACTAGGTACATAATAATTTATAGAAAATATAGGTACATTATTTTACAATATACCTATAAATGTGTATAGGTACATTATTTGGAGAGAGAAAATAGGTTTATTTAAAAAAATTGTTTTCCATAAAACGAATAATAGGTACTTTATTCAAAGAAAAAAAGGTACATTATTTTGAGAAAAAATAGGTTCATTTAAAAAAAAAAGTTTTTCATAAAACAAACAATAAATAGATTATCAAAATAATTTTCAACATAATTAGAATGCACATTATTATTCATAAAACTATAATAAAATAGATTACTAGTAGTATAATTCATAAAAGGAAAACAACAACAAAAAATTATTAAATAAATCAAAACGTTTTTTTTTGGGTCATAAAACAAACCAAAACGTTACTAATACTTTAATGTTGAATTTAATATTTAATTTCAAATAAGTTTCTAAATCAATTCCTACATTCATTATAACCATTTGAAGATCTTTCCAAATTCAACGTGTGCCATTAGTTACACCCCATATAACAAGTTAACTTGTAAATAGGGGTAGTTTTGGAATCCGAAAAATAGAATAAAATCATATTTTAAGCTAGATTAGGTAACTTGCTTACTTGGATCATAGTCATCGGGTTTTATTTGAAAAAATTGGGTATTTTAAATTGAAAAATAAAGGAAAGGGTTGTAGGTGATTACAAATGAATTTTATGAGTCTAAGCTCAATTTACTAAAAAACAATTGGTGAATTGTAAGTAGGGAGAAAAAAATGAGGATCAAATGCATGTTGAAGTTGAGTCTATTTCTAGACATGACATATTGAGAAGTCTGATTTCTACTCAACTTTTTTTTACGTTTTCTCATTTATTGACATGTGATTGTTTTTTTTTTTTTTTTTATGAAAAGGAATTTCATTCAACCAAATAGCATAATACACTGAGAAGAAAACAAAAGGATGTGCAAGTTTGGGCCTCTCTAAGGGGTCATTGTGTACAATAACAATGAATAAGACCACGGTCCATAGTTTTTTTTTTTATTTGAGTACAAGCAATGGTCTAAACTAGAGGGGAGTGGGGTATCTCACACGGGCACAACTAAGACGCCATGAGGGTTCAAACCTAAGCCCTCTTATCTGCAAATCAAGGCTTTTTTTCCACTGGGCTAGGTCATTTAATAAACAATAAACTTCATGTATAAAGAATCTCTGATGACTTATAACAAAGCATAATAATGATTAAATGCAAAATGATGAGCAAAAATATTTTCATCTAAAAATATATGACCTTTAATGGCCTATGAAGTTAGACATACAAAAGCGAAGGACCATAGACATCTCCATAGGGAAAAGGTGCCAAATTAGCTCATTTCGTTACGAAACCAAAAAGATAAACAGCAATGATAATTAAAAGATAAAACAAAAATTCTCTGTAATCAAAGATAAAGCAAAAAATTATAAAAAAAAAATTTATTGACACCCGTGTGAGAGCAGGTCGAAAGCTAGTATAAATAAAAGAAAAATACTGATGCCGCTAAACAATTAGAAGAATCCCTTAAAATATCCCACTTAGGTAATATAGACTTTTCAAATAGTTCACAAATCTAAGAAAAAGAAAGGGAAATTTAACAGTTATAATTTGAAAAGGCATTTTGAAGCAAGCAAAAGGTGAAGAGACTAGCAAATGATATCACAAGTGTAGGTCGTCTACTTACAGTTTGATTTCCTTTTCTTCGCATTCAAAGCCCTTGCCGCTGAACCCTCCCTCCACAGAGGAGAGTGATCCGTTTGCAACTTGGCTGATGATGAGGGGGAAGACGATAGGGATAAGAACTGTATGAATGAAGTGCGAGCAAAACTCATAAAAATACAAACTCAAAACCTCCACCTTGTTAGGCTTCTCTTCAACTCCTGCATATGCCTTGTATGCATCGCTTGCCCTCTGAATATTCATGGCCACCCCGTGCACATCTGGAGTAGCTCCAATCCCGATATATGCTTTCTCCTCCTCATTCTCGACCGCTCGCAGCGCAGAACTGATGATCAACTCTTGTGCACTGCTACTTGTTCCAGTTTCCGGGGTAGGTTCAGCCATTTTTCTTTCAACCCTAATTAATTAATTAATCAAGGGAAGTGTGTGTGTTCAGAACTTTTGCAAGCTTCTTTTATAAATACTCAAAATACAAAAATGGTGAAGAAGACTAAAGAATGGAAGATATTGGTGGGTGGACATGAAAAACCAGCTGGTTGCGGAAAATCCCAAGGGCTTCAAAAGCCTCGGTATGTCCATGTATATGTAAATGCCAATAGAGGAGAGGTATAAATTTGGCATCATTCTCAACTCTCACTGTCTTTTATCATTTTTGTACACCATACGGTCCAATTGTTAATCTATCATAATCATACAACAAGGTGGCACTATATTCTTAATTTGTTTTCTTATGGCTGCTATTCAAGTCTTTAGAGGTAAAAGTACAACGTACAATACTATTTCTTATCATTTTTTTTTTCTGAACGACCTAAATCAGAAATTAAGGCCGTGAATCAACCGATGCTTTCGACCTTTTAGTGCGATTGCGGGTGTGCCGCTACTTGGTTTGGAATAGCCGAAATTTTAAATGAAAAGATT